AGCCATCATTGTTGTTTGGCAGGCCCGGGCTGGGGATTCGAACCCGCCACCTTAGGTGTATGTGGCTGGTGCCTTAGCTGCTTGAGCCACAGGCGCCAAGCCAGTCATTGCTACACTTAGAAGGTGTCTGCTTTGGGGACACTCCCCTGCCTGATGAAGCTGGAGGGGAAACTGAGTTCCTTGTGGTGTTTGCATTATAGGGGAATGCAAACTTTCCCGTTATGGATGGGAATGAGAGACAAACACAGGAATTATTTCTAAATAAGTGGATTGGCTGGTCTCAAACTCCTGAGGTCAAGTAATTCTCCCACCTTGGCCTCCCAGAGTGCTGAGATGACAAGTGTGAGCCACCACACACACACACACACACACACACACAAGTGATTTTAGTCCTGGGGACAGGTCTAGGGTTTCTCGGCTATGAAGACCTTTCCTTGTGGTGGGTGAGGAGGGAAGAGTTCATGGAAACCTTCTTCTCTCCCCTGTGGGTTTCCTGGTATTAGCTGAGGTTCACGTTCTCACTAAAGTTCTTTCTGTACTCAGAGCGTTTTATCAGATTTTTCTCCCTGGAGGGTCCTCAGATACTGCAGGGTACGAGATGCTGTGGCAAAACTCTTTCTCACACTCCATATGCTTTTAGTTTTTCCTCTTAAGAAAAATATCCAAAACTTGGAAATTGCGCAGCAGAGTCAGGGTCACCTGATTCTCTGAACACAAAAAAATCATCTGAGTGACTATTTTCTCAATTCTCCCACGGAGAGTACAATAACTAGCATCGCTCCCGTTGCAGAGGAAATAAGTTGACTATTACCCACAAAGAATGCCTTGGGCGTTAGGGCTCGGTCCTCTCTTTGCAACCCTGGTTGAGAAATACCATTCTGGGGGGGGGAGGGGAAGAAAAATTTCTTTGACTTTTTATTTACTATATGGATCAGGGCCCAGAATTTGTAAGGTCAGATATTGGCCTGCCAAAAATGGATAAGATGCAAATAGTTTTTGTCTGGCAGAATGTGAGTGAAATGGAAAGATTTGGAAGAGATGATAATAATAATCCCAAAGGCTATGTTCTTATTGCCCTGTCGGGCAGTAGCCAGTTTTGTAGCTAATTTAGCTGTTATTCCAGCCTTCTCCTTTTTGCTGAGCACACACACACACACACACACACACACACACCAGTTTCTTTTCTTTCTTTTTTCTTTTGAGACAGAGTCTCACTCTCACCCTGGCTAGAGAGAGTGCCATGGTGTCAGCCTAGCTCATAGCAACCTCAAACTTCTGGGCTCAAGTGATCCTCCTTCCTCAGCCTCCCGAGTAGCTAGGACAACAGGCACCCACCACAACACCCATCTCATTTTCCTATTTCTAGTAGAGACAGAGATTTTGATCTTGACCTGGCTGGTGTCAAACTCCTGAGGTCAAGTAATCCTCCCACCTGGGCCTCCCAGAGTGCTGAGATTATAGGTGTGAGCCACTGCGCCTGGCCTTCTTCCGTCATTTTTTGAACCAACTCTGTCATCTGATGGTTGTCTTGTGAATGTCACCATGTAGTTATGCGAGAATGATGTTGCACATTTTGAGAATTATGTTTTGATACACCTTTTTGGGGGGCTATTGATGTTCTGTATTTACGTAAAGGTGGACCACTGACTGAAATGTTTTTCTTCTTTGAGGAAGGGCACAGATTTGGCAGTGAGGTGGCAGTGGGGGCTGCTGCCTCTACTGTACCTCCAGGGTCTTTTTACCCATTGACTTCTCACCAGCCCGGGCACCTGGGCTCTTTCCTGCTCAACTCTCCACGGACAGAACCTTCCTGGGAACCTCAGGAGGGAGTGCTCATTCACAACATCCTTCTGCTGAAGACTTTTTTCTCTTTATCTTTCTTCAGTCTTCCACTGGTATGAGGAAGTGGATGGGAATGCGAGACGAAGATGGGAATTATATCCAAATAAGTGTTGAGAAAAAATTACCCCATTTGAAGACCCTATCAGGCCTAGGAATACAAAGCTTTTCAAAGTAACAGACATAGTTGGTGACTTCTCATAGATGTTCTAAATTGG